TGATGTGTTGATGGATATAATGGGGTGTTGTTCTGTTTTATGTGATATTTGATGTGCAGAAATAACACTTTCCTTCATCTCAGCTTTACTCCTGATTTAATTTTCTCCACAGGTTAATCAGGGCAGAGCTTTGAGTTTGTTTAAGACTAATGGTAATTAATTTATTCTCAGGTAAAATGATTTCAGTGTTTAATTAGAGAGAAGCTTGATAATTAACCATGATGCTCATATTCCACTGGGATTTTCCTTTTATTTTTTTTTTTTTTTTGTAATAAATTTTTGGACTAACATGTTAATATACTAATGTTTAAATGTGTCCCAAATACATCCTGATTATTAACAGAAGAGTGAATGTATCTGCAAATAAAGTGCAGGCCATTATAATGAGGCGTGTTTTTGGAGTTTGTGATGTTCATCACATGTGTAAAATTGCTGCTGAACTGGACAGACTGTAGAGGTGAAGAAGTGAGGCTTTGAGGATGGCTTTAAACATCTACACTGCGTCTCCAGACTTCAGGAGGATAAGCATCAGGAAAGAGCGCATCATTGAGTTTAATCAGAGCCTTAGAGCATCAGCATCTGTGTTTCTAAACATTTGACTGCAGAGACTTTGCTGTGTTTCTGCACAGTGTTTCTGAGTATTTCCTACTGTTTTGTTGGATCCTCAGACACCTCAACGTGACGCTGAGACACAATGCTTTCATTTACAGTTTGTTACACATGAGAGTGTTATTAGTGCAGTGACACAACAGGACAACTCCTGAGCCTCTTAAATGTATGTGCTGTTCTAATCAGACCCTCATATATACTAAATATTATACAAGCTGTGCTAGACTTCATAAAGAAAGATTAGAGCATAGTTGTGAAAGCAGTAATTTAATTTTGGAAAATCAAATTGAGGTCTATGAAACTGATTTTACCAAACTGTAAAAATATTATTATAATACTCACTCCTGTACAGCAGGTGGCGGTATTCAGCTTTACGCTGCTCTCTAACTCGCCACACAACCACAAGAAGAAAAGAAGAGCTTATCCAGGTATGTGTTTCTTGTCTTCTCCGTGTCCAGCGTTTATAATAGAGCAGCAGTTTGTTTTACATTCGCACATTCTGACTTTCTTCTTAATAATATAATTTCATGAAAGTATTATTTTCAAACTCTAAATAGCGAAATCATATTAGCAGCCAATGACTATCAATGTACAACATTGTTCACAGTTTAATAAACAGTGTTTTCAAGTCATGCTTGCATGCTAATTCTGATCGTATATTTAAAAGTAACATAATAAACAATATAGAGACTTCTAAATGAACGAATATGCGAATATAAAACCAACTTTACCTCCATCTCATTGTTTCCTCAAAGCTCTGCTAATATTTGCATTGGTGGTGTTTTAGCTGCAGTATGGCAGAGGAGCAAGTAAAGGACTCTCTCTCAGAGAAACACAGGTATTGACTCTGTTTTTACACCATTATTTCAACACTTTCTCTGAAGAACAAAGACCAACAAAAATGCACTTATTTGTGTTGCTATTGCCTGATCACATGATGGCCAAAGCTTCAGTTTACAGCTTCAGGAAACGTGTTTAGATCATTCTAGATTACAGACAGCTCGATCTGGTGTCATATTTACCAGAGCTGAATATGTGTCATGCAGAAGGTTTCAGCTTATAGAGGACAGGAAATGAAAATCAACTAGAAATTCATTTAATAAAAAAGGTGCATGTTAAGCTTACAGTTCAGATTATATTAATTTCTATAGATACAAAGTAATGTTTTGTGTTTTAGATTTACTCATCTGGTTTCTGTGTTGAGTTTTTTTACTTAACAGTTTCCATTACAGGGTTTAAGAGTCAAATGTGTTTTTAAATGAAGCTGAAATTGTGCAGAATAAAAAAAGCAGCACATCAGTCGTCTCTAGCCATGATTCCTGTATAGCAGACCTGATGAGCCAGACCTTCAGCCAACTATTAGTTTGCACTAAATTAAACTACACAAACTCGAATTTGGCTGATAAACTCTTTTAAAGGAGACTGAAGTTTCACCTGCAGTTTATTCCTCTGGTGTGTTTGTGTCTTCAGTGTAAGATCAGGAGCATCTGTTTCTCTGAAGAGTGACTGGTCTAAAGATTATCATCCACCAAACCTCAGTGAGGAAACACCATCATCTGTTAAAAGGTATTTTATGTTTTACATTATTTGTCACACATGGACTGTTTCAGTATTCATCAAGACATTTTTATTTGTTACATAATGCTTTATATGTGAGAAACATGAGAACAGTGTTATATAATTTTCTGACTTGAATTCTTCTAAATGTATTTATCCATGCTCCTGATAAGGACAAATGTCTTTAAAAAAATTTGAAAAAACTCTGGTAGTAAAATGTCCTTCTTGTCATGACGAGTTATGAGTCAAAAAATCAGACAAAAGATTCATCTGCAGCATCCATTAAATAAAACTACAAAAAGACATGACAAAGATCAGAGCGAAAACAAGATAATCCAAGAAACAAGGTGGCAGACAAATGGCAAAAATATAACAATGACAATTTAAGGAACAAATATAATCCACAGAGCAGAGAGACAGAGATACAAACACAATTGTCCTTATTAATCAGTCCAACACTGAAACATGCAGATCTGAACACAAAAATCAGCTTATGACAAGGTTCATGTGGGATTTATGAAGCCTTCGTATGCAGAGTATCCCATCATACAGATGATCTTTATATGTTGAAAAATGTTGCGAATGTAAATGATTGTCATATGTGTACCACACTTTTAAATATTAATGTTTTAGAAGCCTCTCGCCTAGAATTTATGACATGGATGAACATAACCAGTCCAAAAAAAGGAATTTCTCACGAGAGAAAGAGTGATCTCACTGATTGGTAATGTCAAAGTGAAAGTAATGAACACATGAGCTATCTCATCATGCAAATTCAGCCACCTTGTTATTATATGTTTTACATGATGTAATTTATAAATACTTATATTAGAGCTGCACAATGTATCGTTTCAGCATTGATTCACAATATACATATCCACAATAGCCACACCATAGGGTCTGCAATGTTGAGAGTGAATTATAGTTGAGCAGGAGCCACAGAACACACGTGATTTGTAGAATCACTGTAAAGTTTACCATAAGAGAGTGAAAGTATCATCTGCATGTGTTTTAAAGACCTGTGATTTGTGAGGAGTTCAAGAAAGTTTAAAACATTTGTGCATAAGAAATTAAGACACTTGGAGGTGTAATAAAAATTAATTGACTTTAATTGTTTTTATAATGAAGACTGCAGGGTTGTTTTACGTGTGCACTGCAACAAATGCTTTTCTTATTGACATATTTTTTTGTCTTGTTTCTGCTTCAAATGACTTAATTTCAGTTTCAATTAATGCACTTTATTAACACACAAAGATAGTAAAAAAAGAAAAGATAAAAGTAGCCTTTTTTACTTTAGCATTTTATTTTTGACACATTTATTTACTTCAGTCATAAAAAAAGTCTTCAAAAACATTTTTTTTATAAAAAAAAACAAACAAATAAAGTGCCACAAACTATTATTATTATTGCCTCTTAGAAACTTTTTAAGGATTCTAATGTTTAATTTTCATATTTGTTCAATGTTAATGTTTGTGAGATGTCAGTTGAGTTGACATGGTTTCAGTGCTTCAATCAATTGATCAAATCTTTCAAGCGCAGTGTTCACTGTGGTCTGCTCTCACTGGATTCCATCAAGCCATATTTTGTGTCATCACGTTTAAACTACTTTTTCTGCGTGTGAAAGTATCAACTGCATTTTAATGACACAAACATAAAGCTTAAAATTTGCGTTACTTTTGAGCTCATATTATAATATAGAAATAGATTAACCTATAGAATGGGACATAAAATAATCCAGTTGGGCCTATTGATTTTCTCTCATTTAGAATTTCTTTGCGGTCACCCAAGCGCCATCTGGGGGACCGCGGCCCCAAGTTTGAGAACCGCTGGCCCAATGAACTTGATCTTACATCAAAACCCCACGTTAGCCACGTTTCCAACTATTATTAGAGCTATTTAATATAACCTGATATAAATGTAATGAAAAATGACAAATCACACCAAAATCTCAGTGTTTGCTAATCAAACTAAACACAGAAATAAAATAAAACACAAACTATCTTAGTTATTGTTTCCAAAATACAACTTTAATTTCCAGGTCGTAAGAAATAACTATATAGCAAACATTTTCAAGATTAGAGACTCCAGTTATGTTCAATTAATAAACAATTTGAACATTGATACAAGTAAGGCTTTATTAACAACATTGAACACTTAAATAGAACTTTTGATGAATTCCCTATAAGCTCATTTTGCTACAAAGAGACAATCAGGAGCACAGGGGTTGATGGGAAATGAAGCCCATCATAAAAGAGTGCAGCAGGTGGTGACACTTCTTTTCCTCTGGTGTGTTTGTGTATTCAGTGTGAGATCAGAATCATGTGTGTTCAGCTCTGTGTCTTTGAAGAGTGACTGGTCAATGCATAATCCACCTAAGTTCAGTGAGAAAACACCATCATCTGCCCAAAGGTATTTAGTGTTTTAAATTATTAAACACACATGCACTGTTTCTAACATATTATTGTGAATCAATAATTGAGTAGAGTCATTCCTGAATGAATAAGTTGTGTGAAGTAATTAATAATAATGTCATATTGCTGTGTCAGTAACTTCAAAATTCAAATTCTGTCATAATTTATTCATTTGTGGATCAAAAAAGATGTCACAAAAATGTTTATAAGCAAAACTGTTTAGTGAAGGTATCTAAATACTGATGAAGCTCCTGAAAAATAATTAGAGCTATTGTAGCTTAAAGCTTTTGTGTAATAATAAACTGTAAATCAAACTTTTCTTTCTACAGTTAGTCTTTGACATATTTCAGATGCTAAACACAATAATGACTTTAGTGTGAGATTTCTCATCTAAATTTAACACGTGACACAGTGGCCCTACAGAACATTCATTATTGTCAGTGTTTGTAAGATATATCTGTATCTGTTTGCCTCTAAATGTTTTATTACAGTAGTTTTATCTGTTAACAGTGTTGAATATGAGTTTGCAGATTCAGGAGACGAGACTTACCGGAGCCACAACAATTTCAAAGACAATCACAAAGACAATCTCCAATGGATCTTCCAGGTGGGAAAAACTCATTTTGATTCATTAAAGTCACTGAAATAACTCCATGAAACACATACAGAATAAGTGTTCACAAGACTTAAAAACTGGATCTTATAACATGTGTGAAGTTGAAGTTGAGGGGGACCCAACTATATACCTCTGCAAAATTAATCGTCTTAATCGCTTGTGCTGCAAAAAGAAAATACAATGGTTTGTGGTTCTCTCAGTTTGAGGTTTCTCAGCCCCAACAAGTGCTCCATATTCAGCCCAAATAGTGTTTCTTGTATTTGCTATGTTTGATTTGGTTTGTGCTGCATTTGATTTTAAAATAATGGAAATTCAATTAAAGAAAGTGACGTCACCAACAAAATAATGTTTTGTAATTGAAATTATATTTAAATTAATGCTTCTTATTTGGTTTGTGCAAGTGAAAGTTTAATTTGTGCTCAATCAGACTCACTCTTAACGACCATGTCCAACTTGAAATCAGCTGAACACTGAACACACGAGAAGCCCAGCACTTTGCTTATTAAATGAAACTGGTGGTATCAAGTGCCTCAGCAAACAGATGCTAAATAGCTCTGCCATGAATGATGCCATCCATCATTAATCGCTCATAATTCAACGTGTAATATTTTAAAAACTAAAACCACAAAACATCACAAATGGAGTCCAAACAAACAAGACCATTTGTGGGGATTTTTCAGTGAAAGTAGGCTATGTGATATGGGGTTGAATGTCGGAGGCGGGAACTGATTAGCAGGTTAATGAGCTCAAATTGGATAATTCTGCGTTGTGTTCTCTTCATACAGTTTATTATAAAGCACAGAACAATTTTTTCAAAAAGAATTTATTTATTTAAAAGTGGTAGTTTTAGGCTTAATGCAGGTATGTCTGTGAGGCAAATATTCAAAGAGATTCAGCTGTTTTCTGACAAGTGTGAAAGTCATGTTGACCGAAGACTCAAAAAAGAAAAAAAGACTTAGCACCACTAAAATAATCTGACTTATTTAAAAAAAAAAAACATTGTTTTGTTGTAATTATGAAAGTACACAAATGAAAATAGATAATTTGCCATTCAAATCTGAATGCCCTTGGCCCTGTTTTTAGCCAAGCTGTATTTGTTTAGATGTTTATTTGACTATGGTTCCCGCAGCTTTAGCCCCTGTTCAGATGTATTCCAACATTCATCAGGTATTTGTCCTGAAGCTGCTTCTTAGTTTCTTAAACATTTTATGTAAAGGCTTCTGCTGTTGGGTTTTGATGTGATTTTCGACTGTTGTAGCTGTGAAATATCTAAAATCATTCAGCATAGTGATATGAAAGTGAATGTGCTCAAAACCTGCCAGGATCTACTTTACCTGAGTGTTTATCTGAAAATAACCTTTGAATACCCATCAGCTAATCAGAATCAAGTATTATCAAGTGTGAGGTCCGGCCAGTTGGTCCAATGACGGTATTCAATGGTGGATGAAGGTTCACTGCATGTTCGGTCTTTCCAGTGCACAATGTTGATTTATATTAAACTTAACTCATATCTGACTCCAATTTTAGTATGAGGTGGTTTAGAATATTAATATATTTATCCTCGTTTTATCTGACTTCAATTATAAAGCATTAAGAAGATTATATCAATATATAATTTAGATAAATGTTTGAACCTTTTGTCTTCACTAGTAACTATCACATCCGTTCATTCGGGTGCTCATGTCGCTCAGAGAAATCGCCTCAGCCGACCGTCCCTCACGGTCACACTCTGGTCAGTCTTGAATATTAAACAGAGGTAATTGACTAATACTTTAGATGGCCGCTACCAGCGCGCTCGTTCTAAAATACTTTAGTTAGTCCCGCTTAGATGTACACCTTTGAGTTAAGACAATCATCATTTCTAATTAGAGGTTAGGGCATTATTATAAATTTACCCGACTACTGGACTCTATAGTAACTTTGGTTTTCACCAAGCCCATGGTTTCCCATATGAACTTAATTTAGAATAATATTACCTTCAAACAAAGGTTGGGTACCCAATCTAGGTTAGTCGTGCAACAACTTGTTGACCTAGACGGAAATTAACACCCTTTCCACCTAAGTACACTTGAATCAATATCAAGAGTCAGTCGGATCCCTAAAACACAATTAGTGTGCCCAATGCTCCATCTCAACTGGATTTTAGTCCATCTACTTACCTGACGCAAGACGTGCGGAAACAAGGATTCAGCGTAATCTACTAGAACTAATAATTACAGAGTGAGCAAAATATGTTCAAACATAACAATTTATTAGTCAGGTAAATGTATTATGCCAATTCAGTCAGTCAATTCATAAATGATCAATACAAAACATCAAATTATCAAAGATAAATCCAAGATGAAAAGATGCATACCTGACTTCAAATTATACATAACGTGGAGCGTAAGCTCCATGTTACGGGCTGATCTGGTTAAGCAGAATCGCCCTGAGCCTTTCTCAAACCTTACCTTAAAGGGTCACGAAACACCAAAACACATTTTTTTGAGCTGTTGACAGTCGTATATGTGTCCCACACTGCTAAAAACACTATTAGGACACCTATATTTCACTAAAAAGTGTAAATTGGTTGTTTTTGCGTTATTGCAAGCTAATTCGTACTTCCGGTTTGAAGCAAATTTTTGAAGCTGCGTCACGGTCATGACATAATAGCGTGTATTCCAGCGTGCAGACTGGGCGTCTGTGCCAGAGTGTGTCTTATTACGTCTTACAGTGTGCTGCATTAATGCATGAGTAAGGCTTGGTTCAAACCAATCAGCGCGCTCTATTGTGCAACTTCATTAATATTCATTACTGTCACAGTGTTTAGACGACACTCACACCACGTTGTATTGGCAAACCAAGCGTAAAGTGTTGCTTTTATAATTTGCTGCAGTTAAGTTTTGTTTTCATTTTCTCTCTGTGAGAGCTCAGACTCACGTGTGGATTAACCGTGTACGCAACGTTCGACAACAATAACTTGCGTGTCTAAGGAGGATTATTGTGTACCTGAGAGCTGTTCTCATCTGCAAACGCTAAGATCCGGATTCGCTTGTAGTATTCTCTTCATAAAGACGCGGCTCTAGTTGCTGGTGATTGTCCTGTCTCTACAGATTTGGTAAGTGAGCGAGCAGTGCTCTTTGTTTATTCAGTTTGTTCGTATCGAACTAAGTTAACCATTGCACCGAGTGTAAACATGTTAGCACCACAACCAAACTTTAACCTCGTGTAGGGTTTTCACCACATTTGGTGACCGGAATAACACACGCGGCTTTCTGACGCTTCCTGCCGTGTGCATCTAAGTTTCCGGGAAATGCAGAGGTTTTTATTCTCTCATTCGCCGTGCGGTATTAAACATTGCATGAAAAATACACGCATAGAGCAGTTCCTCGAATCAAATATTTCGTTTGTCGCGAGGGGCATGAATGAATTCCCTGAATGAAAGAGCCAAACTGCAGTTAAAGTCCACCATTTAATAATTTGGCAAATAATTCGACTACAGATGTCCATGTAGGTTAAACCCCATCACTTTCTACTGTGTGTGTGAATTTTGACTCTGAAACTCGCGCGTGCCCAAATAGACACTCCCACACCATCCCACTTTTCTTCCTCCGACACTCCCCCCTAAACAGAGCTGGACACGCCCACTTTTCTGGCTTTTTCCAAAGTAGAGGTGTGAAAACACCCTGCTGAAACGAGGGGGTTTCATGGCCCTTTAAGTAATCCAAGAATTCCCTCAAGGAAAGGGGTGTGTGCATAACAAAAGGAATTTGCATTTAGCGCTGCCTGTGGAAAAGTCACACCCTTCACAGTGGTTCAAAAGATGCCTGAAGTTATATATTTATTGTTTTGATTATGTCTATTTCTGAGAGAATGAGACCATTGTACCAGTCGCACTGAGACATTTCAAATGACATCAAACATGATAAATAAAGTCACTTTGGTTAATTTAGAACATTCAAACATTGAAATGACCATATGTGTGAGTTGGGGTGGTTGAAGTCGAGTTTCAGCAGACTCAGATGCAAATGCAGCAGGAGCTGGTTTTTCCCGCATTCCCACCTGCTGGGTTGTGGAGTCAATTGTCTCTGTTTTCAGCTCATGTTTGAATTGTCAAAGACATCAAAAATATTTGCAATATCTCAACTCTTAGACAAGCATCTTAGTATAAAATGTGTTTTTAATTATTGAGTAGTTTGTGGATGAACAACTGTATGCGAATGCATGTTTTGGTTAGTGTTTTTTTTGTCTTTTTTCCGTTTCTTCAATCATAGAATCTTGAAAGCAAAATAATCAGATTCCTGAAGAATGAACTGGAAAAGTTTAAGAAAATTTTACAAGCAGAAAACAAACAATACTTTGTAAAGGGCTATAATGAGAACAGAAGCAGAATCACAGAAGCAGCTCTTGATCTCACACTCTTCTTCCTGAGAGAGATGAAGGAAGATGAAGCTGCTGATACTCTCATGGGTAAGAGACTCATGGCCATCTGTCAGACTGTCACGTACTAATATAGCTGAAAAAGTCAACACTAAAACTATCTGCTCCTGTGTTTAGATGAGCTGTTCTTCATTAATCAGCTTAAATGTAGCCTGAAGAAGAAATATCAAAGTGTGTTTGAAGGAATTGCTCAGCAAGGAGACTCCACACTTCTGAATAAGATTTACACAGATCTTTACATCACTCAGGGTGCGAGTGAACAGGTCAACACTGAACATGAGATCAGACAGATTGAAGCTGCGTCCAGACATCATCAGTCACTAGAGATACAGGTTGAATGCAAACATTTGTTTGAAGCAGCTGAACAAGACGAGCAGATTAAGACTATCCTGACAAACGGAGTTGCTGGCATCGGGAAATCAGTCTCTGTGCAAAAGTTTGTTCTGGATTGGGCTGAAGGGAAAGAAAATCAAGACATCAGCTTCATATTTCCTCTTCCATTCAGAGAGATGAACTTAAAGGAGAAAGAAAGACAAAGTTTAAAAGACCTCATAACTCAGTTTTTCCCAGAGACTAAAGGACTGAACCTTACAAGAAGCACACGATTCAAAGTCCTGTTCATCCTTGATGGATTGGATGAATGTCGTCTTCCTCTGAACTTTGCTGGTAATGAGACGTGTCGTGATGTATCTTCAGCAGTCTCTCTGGATGTTCTCCTGACGAACCTCATCAAGGGAAATCTGCTTCCTTCTGCTCTCATCTGGATCACCAGCAGACCAGCAGCTGCCAGTAAGATTCCTGCTGACTGTATCGACCGGCTGACAGAGATACGAGGATTCAATGATGCCCAAAAGGAGGAGTACTTCATGAAGAGACTCACAGATCAGAATCAGGCCAGAGAAATCATTGATCACATTAAACAGTCAAAGAGTCTCTTTATTATGTGCCACATCCCAGTCTTCTGCTGGATTTCAGCCACTGTTCTCCAGAACATACTGAAACTGAAACACAGGGCTCATGCTGAAATACTGCAGGAATCTCCCAAGACTCTGACACAGATGTACACACACTTTCTCCGCTTTCAGATCCAGCAGAGCAAAAGAAAGTATGATGGAGAAAACACAGCAGATGTCTCCTGGGATCCAAACCTCATCCTTTCACTGGGGAAACTGGCCTTCCAGCAGCTGGAAAGAAACAATGTGATCTTCTATGAGAGCGATCTGAAAGACTGTGGCATTGACGTCTATAAGGCATCGGTGTACTCAGGCATGTGTACCCAGATCTTTAAGGAGGAGACGGGAATCATTCTTGGTACCATGTACTGCTTTCTTCACTTGAGCATTCAGGAGTTCATTGCAGCGCTTTATCAGCATCTGATTCTAGACAACAACAAGAAGCATGGATGGTTTTTTATACAGAAAAGCAGAGATAAGTCCATGATTGATTTCCTGAAGACTGCAGTGGTCAAGGCTCTGGAAAGTGAGAATGGACATCTGGACCTTTACCTTCGCTTCCTTCTCGGTCTGTCACTCTCGCCTAATCAACAACTCTTACGTGGCCTGTTGTCACAGCAGGATGACAGTGATCATAGCAAAGAGGAAATAATTGCCTACATCAAGCAGAAACTTGAAGGGAATCTGTCTCCAGAGAGATCCATCAATCTCTTCTACTGTCTGAATGAACTGAACGACCAAACTCTGCTGAAAGAGATTCAGTCTCACCTCAGTAGAGGAAGTCTGTCATCTGCTCACCTTTCACCTGCCCAGTGGTCTGCTCTGGTCTTTGTGTTGTTGACCTCAGAGGAGGAGCTGGAGGAGTTTGAGCTGCAGAAATTCAAAAAATCAGATGAGTGTCTCATCAAACTATCAGCAGTCGTCAAAGCCTCCAGAAGAGCTCTGTAAGTCAAAGTCCTTCTTTCTGCTGATATTAAATAATACAATATTTCATTTTAATGAACATGCACAATATTGATATTGTCAGCACTTCAAAATACTGTGAATAATTGTTTATTATTTAATATTTTAGTTTTACAGGTTTTTAATAACATTCAGATTAATTTATTGGCAGTGGTTGTTTAAGGGTTGTTTAACTTAACTGTCAGAGGGACAATACTCTTGCTGTACAAGACTGATCTAAGTCAGCAAATACACCTCTAGGAAAAAGAAGTATAGGCCAAGTATAAAAGTATACTTTAAGTATATTAATATCAATATCTATCTCCCAGAGGCCCAGAAAAATACACCGCAGTGACAAACGCTTCACACTTTGTTGATAAAAATACATTTTTAGCTTAATGCTTGTACAGTTCAAATAATTGTTTAGCTATATACAGCTGTCATTAAACTAAACAAATGAACAGTGTCAGTGTCAGTCTGAACAGTTGCCACAACCCAATCCCCCCACCCCCAAACTGTAAAACCTAGTGCAAACACTGCAATTAGCATCTAAAAAGTATATAGGATTGTGACTTAAGATCCACAACAGATAGATCACAGCACCATACCAGCTGGGGGCATGGCAGCCATCTTGTAAAGTGACTCTGTGCAGGCAAACAGTTTGGGGAGGTACTCGGGGTTAGCAGCCATGACAGGTGTTGAATCCACAGGATTTTAGAGTATGGAAACTGCTGTGCCTGAGATTGCTGAATCTGATGTATTATAGAGCATTGAAACCATTGTATTAGAGAGAACTAAAACTGTAGACATGGCCCTGAGGAGCTGTAGGCAAGATTACAGAGAAGGCAGTCCTTATAACTGGTATGAAGAAATTTTTATAAACAGTGAATAATATATTTATTTATTTTCTATATTTCTGTTACATATGCATCTGTTTCATATTATTTTGTAAAGTGTTTTGAGATGCAACTTTTTAAAGATGCTACAGAAAATTATACTTATAAGTGTGTTCATTAAAATAATAATAAATTATTTTTAAAATGTATTACTGTTATTACTATTAATTATTTTACTGTTTTGAAATTTTAGGCATTTAATAAAGAGTTAAACATCTAAAGGAAGCCATTTAACTGTGTTTTATAGACATGAATTCTATTCAAAGCTCAAATTATTAGTTGTACTTATTAATAAGTGAAGTTATAGCAGTCACTACAGTCATATGTGCCCTAAACTATTAAACACACCAGATTAACACATACATATTGTTTTTGTCCTCTACACAGGCTACAGTGGTGTAATCTCACTGTTCAGTGCTGTAAGAGTTTGTCTTCAACTCTACAATCCTCAAAGTGTGTGCTGAGAGAGCTGGACCTGAGTAACAATGACCTGCAGGATTCAGGAGTGAAGCTTCTCTCTGATGGACTGAAGAGTCAACACTGTAAACTGGAGACACTGAGGTAAATGATTGTCCACTCAACAATAACTACAGTCAGACAGTTTCATATTAGGGCTTTTGAGTAATAGTCTGTTGAGTGTGTGAATGTGTTTGCTGGTGTCAGAGCTTGATCAATAAGGCAATAAGGAGAGCTGATCAGGATGTGTGTGTTCATCACTGCGGGTCACATAAGCAGAAACAGCAGTCGGCATCTTCACAACACAAAGAGATGTGTGATTGTCCAACTGTGTGATGTGGACTATTGCTGTGTTTGTAGATTGTCTGGCTGTATGGTGACAGAGGAAGGCTGTGGTTTTCTGTCTTCAGCTCTAACTTCAAACCCCTCACACCTGAGAGAGCTGGATCTGAGCTACAATCATCCAGGAGATTCAGGAGTCAAGCTGCTCTCTGAACAACTGGAGGATCCAAACTACACACTGGACAAACTCAAGTATGTGGAGCATTACCGCCCTTGTGTTTTACACTTAGTAGCTTTAAGAAGATACTGCTTGTAGACTATTACAATCATGTCAATAAAGAGAAAGTAATTCAGTATGAAATTAATCTTAATCTGTAAAGTGTTGGATTGTATTTGGTCAGTTGTGACATTAATTGGGACACACTGCACAGTTTCAGCATTTGAGCTGAGCAGAGAAACTTTTTCATTTTTACTGAAGAATCCTACACTATCAGGTCAGGAATAGGTTTGGGTGTTGACAATCGATTCAGATTCTGGAATCAGACTCTTAAAATAATGTTCAGATATTATAAAATTAACATTTTGATTCCCCTATAAATTCCTATGCCTTTTATTTTTTCACTTGGTAATTTGCCAGGAACTTCCAACTTGATGAGCAGCTTTAATAATCTGAACATAGTTTAGAGATGGACTGCAACATGTGCTCAAAGGCTGCATGTGCTGAAGAATGATGGCAAAGCTAAGTGTGATCACTGTAATAAATGAATGTTGCAGCAGGGTGTCTCCATCAACATGAGCAGTATCTGCGCTCGCTTCACCAACAGCAGATTAAAAGAACGCACTCTGTTACATTTATTGTGCATCACACTGTAACAACAAGTGTTTTGTATTGTAGTTGTAGCTTAGCAGCTCAGTCCTAGCTTTTGTTTAGGTCTTAAGGTTAATCTAAACAAATGGTTTCACACATAGAAAATGGCTTGAATCCTATATAAAATTCAAATTAAAGATCAGATTTGATAGAAAAGACCTACAGTACCATTAAGATTTTGACACTGTTAAACACTGTGAAAAACTCACACCTGAGCAATGCATGTGACTTCATTCTCCATATAAGTGGCGTCTTTAAGCTGCAGCTCCAATAAAAGCCTTTTATCTAAAGTATTAAAGACATTACTGTAGTCCAGCACATTCTCCTTTGTCATTTCATTGTTAAGACACACAACTTTTTTATTTTTTCAGTTTTATTTGTTTTGCTTTCATTTTATGTCTGTAATGTGTAAGGTTTGGGTGGCACAGTGGGTAGCACGTTTGCCTCGCAGCAAGAAAGTCGCTGGTTCAAGCCTTGGCTGGCTCAGTTGGCATTTCTGTGCAGCATTTGCATGTTTTCCCCGTGTACACGTGGGTTTCCTCCGGGTGCTCCGGTTTCCTCCACAACTCCAAAGACATGTGGTATAGGTAAATTGAGTAAGCAAAAAAAAATGACCGTATTGTATGAGTGTGTGTATGGTTGTTTTCCAGTGATGGGTTGCAGCTGGAAGGGCATACACTGCGTAAAACATGCTGGATACGTTGTCAGTTCATTCCACTGTGGTGACTTCAGATTAATAAAGAGACTAAGCCAAAAAGAAAATTAATGCATGAATGTTTAAGGTTTTACCAAAATCTGGTTAAATTTTGTCAACAGCCCCTTAAGAAAAATTATTCCCAGGAAAAAACACATGATGTGTTCAATAATTATTTCCCCCACTGTACTTATTAAGGGCTGTATTTTAACGATCTAGGTGCAAAGTCTAGAGCGCATGGTGCAAAAGCATTAAGGGCGTGTCCAAATCCACTTTTGCTAATCACAGTGTTGAGTGTTATTAACAGTGTACAAATAACAGTGTTATTTGATAATAACAGTGTTGTTGTTATTCTCTCAATGAGTTATGGGTTTGTTTTAAGCATAACACGCATTAAACCAATCAGAGACTCATCTCCCGTTCCTTTTAAAAGTCAGTTGCGTCATTTGCTATTTACACTGCAGACTTTGTAAGTGGAAAAACGTCCCTAGCGAAAAAACGGTTAAACTGGCCATCTGCAGCGCGAGGAAAAAGAACAAGCTTCCTCCATTCAGCCTTTTTACTTTCTCTTTATTTTACTTTTACTCTCTACTTTTCTCCTTTCGTTGATAAGAAAATGATGTTGTACGCACTCCACTGAAGAAATCCATTAGCCTAAACAAAATGAATTTCATGTTAAGGGCAAAGGTTTGTTTCAAAACTATTTCTAAATTCAGTTCTAATTTCCAGCAAACAAATAAATGAACAATAATAATTGTCACATCCTTCTGTGACCACCTGAGGGCGGTGTAGTGCACTAGGACTCTGTAGGTGCTACAGCGTCCCAGGAAAAAAACTACATATTCATACATGCCCCGCGCACACACCGGAACACCTACACTGACCTGTCATCATATCTGTTTTGTGTTGCCGTTGCCGTTGACACCCAAAACAATCTGGACTATTTATACAACTATTTCACCACAGTTTGTCATCGCGTCTTTTGTCTACCTTGTCTGTCTTGTTCCCAGTGCCGCAGTAAGTCTGATATTCTGAGTCGTTCCTGATCGTGTTTTTGTATTTTTGCTTAGTCTAGTTTTTCGAGTTTTGTTTCCTGAGCCTCGTCTCTGTTTTAGTTTCTGGTTTTGTCGTTTGTTTGTTACTTTGTATTTTGATCACCTCGTTGTTTCACTGTAAATAAATATCTGCTCTTGGATCCGCACCTTTTTGTTTTTGTTCCTGTTTTGATCACGCCAAACGTGACAATAATAGAGTGTGTTAAAAAAAACCGAGTTATATCCAAACGCGTTCTTTTCTTATGCCCAATATGGTGATGCAGATGTCTCCTAAACCTGAAGGTGGACAAAACTAAACTTGTTTTAATAAAACAAATATAGATATTGTTGTAAAAAAATAAATGAGTGAAAAGAGAAGAAGAGAACCCAGTCCAGGGGCCTCATGTACGAAGACTTGCGTGGAAATCTTACTAAAACATTGCGTACGCACAAATCTGTAAATGTGCGTACGCAGAAAAAAATTCAGATGTATGAAACACTGCGTACGCCGAATCTCACGCATATTCTTTTGTACATCTGAATGAACGTGAAACTGAGCGCAACATGCACGAGCACAAAACCCCTCCCTGCCTCCTCCCCCGTATGAATATGCTAATGACTATGCTAATGGAAAAACCCAACGAAAAAGCAACGGCAAAAGCAAGCAAAAAGAGAAACTTTGAACAGAATGTGAATTGGAGGAGCTGCTTTCGGAGGTAGACCAGAGAAAAGCGGTGTTATTTGCAAGTTTGTTCTCCGGAATTAACAACAAAAGAAAAAAATAGAGTGGGAGAGTTTAGCTGATACGGTTAACACAGTTGGGTCTGAACATCGCACTGAGTGCATTTAAAAAAGAAATAGTGTGGTTTATATCTGTAAAATGTTGCAATACCCTTAGCAGTCTCAGTGGCGCACCACATAAGAAGCATGTGATCATGTTTTGACACGTTTGAGCATAAACTCGGCTCGAATCCAGCGTCTGATGAACTCTTTCTTCTTTTTTTCCCCGCTACATATCAGATTTTGCCCACTATTTATCACGAGAAAGACAAGTAGGAATCATCAATAAGTTTGTGCATCATATTTTATTTGCACATTTATTGAATGGAAATGTTTCTGATTCACGCATGCAAATTTATCTTCAGGTAGTGTCTTTATAGCAATGTGCGTGCAGTAGATTGCTCAGATTACATTGGAAAAACAGGCGACCGCTGCAAATTGTGCTTTAATGTTTAGCTGGTCAACTGTATGGTATGGAAATCTTACATACCTACTATATGAACCCGTCTCATACAGCTGCCATTGCAAGGATCAGACACTTTGTAGAGAGGAATTTAACACAACTGCCTCTAGGAGTCGCCAATGGAAATAAAACAGACACGCACAAAAAATGTGCGTACGCCTGCCAGAAAGCTGCCGTGAAGCTGCGCACATTCCCACGTTCAGTTCATTGTTAGTAAATCCAAACGTGAGCGATTCTGAGCGTGAAACTTGGTGTACGCAAAGTTTTTGTGCGTACGCAGCGTTGATACATGAGGCCCCAGGAGACTTGAAACAAGCAGAATTCCTTTATTGAGACGTGTTGGATAATCTGCAGTCATACAGCGTCTTTAAGATGTCCATGTGTCTTCAAGAGCCGACTAGAGGTCCGCAGTCTTCAAGTTCTTTCACAAGTCTCTCACAAGTCTGAATTAAGACAAATATTTCATGTCTATATTGTGTTCTTAGGAGGAGGGGTTATGGCTAAACAAAGCATGCAAATTAAGAGTTGTGGTCGGCAGGGTAAACTGCTTTTTCAGGCCTGGTCTCATCATGTTCTGGAGACAGAAACCGCCTGACCAGTTGATCGAAAAGAGAAAACAATAGACACAACCATGCTGTGAAACTGACAATTTGCATTACTTTGGCTTAACCTGTAGTCAGAATGACAAAAGGTTAATGTCCCTCCTAGCTGGGATGTTAATGAAATGATATAATTAAAACCAGAGAATATAACTTTTTAGTTATTCGTAGATTATTGTTCATTTGGAATTAGATGATAGAAATTTATATTTCCATAGTATGCTTAAACTGAACAATACTGCTAATAGTAATAACATTTTACAAAAGCAAACTGTCATTAATAAACTGAAAAAAGCCCTGAGATGGAGGCAGTGGTTTTTATATTTATGTAGAAAATAATCTTTTTTTGTAACATTTTAATCCTTACATTTTTTTCATATGTAAAGATATTTGTGTATTGCTCTACATCCTGTGTGTATTAAGCAATATGTAAGTTTTAGGCATAGGCGCATAACTAACCGCATAGGTGCATAACTAACACGTTCTGCGCTGGACTTTAAACAAGCTTTTACTTGGTCAATGGTGCAGTCTATTTCAGTTTCTTAAAATAGCAATGCGCCAACAATGCACCTTAACACACCTCCTTTATAGACCAGCACACCTACGAATCCACAAAGTGGCGCAAATGGATTTGCTATTTTAACAACATTGTACAAAACATAAAAATTAGGGTTAGGCTGGTGTTGGAATTTACATCAATTCCTTCCTTTTCTTCAGTGTCAAAAATCGTAACAATTAATTGGATACAAATGAATAATTTGATTCACAGAATTCTGTTATCCTCTATGCAATGCAAAAGATACAATAAGGAGGT